GAGAGGTAGTTCCACTGGGCTCCTCTGTCCCAGGTCAATCAGGGTTGTTTCCTGTAGGAGGTCACTACTCCTACACCAAGTGACCATGTGACATTTCCTCCTGGATAAGAGAGTTCTGCTCTCTTGTTGGGTCTAGCAGACCAGTATGCAGCAATTTGTTTAAATATGCTAGTCCTTTCTGCCTAGTCTGTGAATTCCTTCAGAGCAGAGAACACATCTTAGCATAGGGTCTTACCCTGGTAACCACTGCTAAATGTTTCTGAAATGAATAAGTAGAATTAAACAAAATATACTGGAAATCAAATAAATTTTACATATTAATACAGAAGTCTTTAGCTCACTGGTCTTGCTGTTGCTAGCTCTACTGACACAGAGTCACATGAAGATCTGTTCGATATGGGCTTTGTTCTTATTCAGTTAAAAGAAGAGGTTAGGTCATTTGAAAGGCTTCTTCCAGGCCTCATCTGGTGGTATGAATAACGAATGAATAGTGGAGAGAATTAAATTTGGAAAATTGCCATTTCAATAATTGATAGGAAATCTAAAAATCCAATATCAGGATTAACCATGGAGACATCTGAGGTACAGAAGGGATTATATTTGGTAAGTTTCTAACTAGGTTAGTGGAAAGCCCAGCTGTTTCCTTAATTCTCTCACATTTCGAGATTTCTACTTTGATTCTATAAGAAAACTAGGTGGTTATGTAAGAAAAATAATGACTTAAAATTTACTAACTCAAGAACTCATGTAAGAGTTCACACCCTTGGCCACTTAGCAAAAGTATGTTGACTTAAGAAAAAGTGTTTAGACAACGTGGGTTGTACCCTGAGCGTGTACCCCATGGTGGGGGACAGGGGGCGGGGAGGGAGACAGCTGCTCTGGGAACTTGGCCATAAAATACCTGCAAACTTCTTCTGCCACCCAACATTGATCAAGAATTGAAAATCACAAGCTTCTGGCACTGAAAATTAATTCTCAAAAGGCTGACAGTCTCTGGGAAGTACTCATGGTACTAAAAAAGAGCATGGAACTTGGAGTCAACATATCTGAGTTTAAATTCAGCTGCATGCCTTGAGACTACCTGCTCAAACCTCCTGGGGCCACCATGATCACTTCAATGGGCCCTGGTATAGCTGGCCTGGTATACTGTAAATGGGACCCAGCAGGGGGGCTGGAAACTCTTCAGGCACTGAGAATGTTAGTTTCTCTTCTTCCCTTTTGATGGATGGTCTATTTATGGGGAAGGAGACACGTGATACTCAAGGAATTTATAATAGTTGGTAAGGCAAAAGTCATATCTATAAAAGATGCCGAGCTACGTGTAGCTGGGTAAGATAAATATCTAGAAATGGGGTGACTCAGAGTGCCTTTAAGAGTGGACCAGAAAATGATGATCATGGGCAGGAACAGCAAGAGAAGATGGCCTGGAAGAGGAAGAATTTGAGTCAGAACTTTGAAAATGGCGGGAATTAGGCAGGCAGAAAGAAATGGATGGGCAGGTCCCTTTGGAGAGAGGTACCTCGCGAGAGTGTTCTGGGCAAATTCTGGTAAGATGCACACAATGTGCTCGCTGCAGAACCTTCTGCATATTGGAGTGGCTAAATGGAAGACCTCTGGTAAGTGGACATGGGTCTTAAATGCTGGACTAAGGAATTGGTCTTTATCTAATAGACGATGGAAAGTCAGTGAATGTTTTGGGGTAAGAAAAAGACCTAGGCAAATAATATCATCTAGAAGCGCCCACATTTGCAACACTCTCTGGTGCTAGGAGCCATGCCGCTGAGGAAAGAAAAGAAAAGAAAAGAAAAAAAACCCTTTCATTACACTAATACTTAGTAAATCACAGAAGACCTACTTCAGAACTCCAAGGAAAACATTTTTGTGAATCAAAAGCTAAGTACAATATGTTAGCAATTAAATGAGATAACATAATAGCTGAGGCAGAACCGCAGCTTTCCCCACCACAAATCCAAGCTGCACCAGAAAGAAAGGCTTACATCATCTTCCAAGTTATCAAGCTATTTTGTTTTGATTTTCAGGAGGCGGGGAGGGAGGGAACCAGAAGAGTACTGAGGTCAAGAGGATTCAAAGCTGTCTATTCTTTAATCAGAAGGAATTAGGAAGGAGAAGGAGAAACGAGATCTGCTCAAAACAACTCCCACCCTGGGATGAGTCTGGAGTCCCTGGTCCCTCACTTCCAGTCCAGGACACAGGAAGGTGTGCAGCCCAATGTGGCTCTTTCCAGTGCTTTCTGCCACATTTCCGGTGCATACCTCCCGCTGCTACTTTATTTACTGCAGCTGGCCAAAGTTTTATAGCCTGTTTCATGTATTAAAATTCAAATGTGGAAAACATTACCAGTATCCTCCTTGATTTTTTTTTTTTATTTTGTTGTTGTTGTGGGGAAAGGTGGGGGGGGTTGTTTTGCATTTTTTTTTTTTGCTTCCCCTTAAACTTCCCTTTTATTGTGGAATGCATCCAATGGTCAAAGGCTAACATTAGACTGACTAAATTCAAAAACTATTTCCTTTGTTCTTAGTTTTTTTTTGTTTTAAAATTCATACTAGTTTGCCCAAGGAAAGATATGCCAATCCAGCCTCTTCCACACACATTAATGTTTAGACTGAGGATCTAGGATTCTGTGGACAGGCTAAATGGTCTTTCAAGAAGAAAGGGGGAAAAGGTAACTAGCCCCTCTTTGGGTCAGATGCAGCAGGTTGCTGACAGAGGTGGTACCACGTTCTGGCTGGCTCCATGGCTGTTCTTAATTGAATACAAGATGTCTCAGAAGAGTGAACAGGAACGTTTCCTCGTCCACAAAACTGGCAGCTCTATTTCTTCTATATAGTTTTTTTTTTCTTTCCCAATCCAATCAAAGAGGTATCTGTGTTATATTGGCCAATTATTTCCCTTTTCAAAATGGTTCTGTTCTATTCTCTCCCGTTCCCCTGCACTGAAATCAGTTCAACTCCCCATCTCCAAAAATAATTCTAGACTTTTCCTCCCATCCCATCTCTGAATCAGACTCAAAGAGGAGGCAATTCAAAGGTCAAATAGTTCCAAAAAGCATCTATGTATAGTTTAGTATGTTAAAGAACCACTTAACCTACATCTGGTACTTAAGAACAAACTTTACATATTTATGGAAAGACAGTCTCTGAAGCAATGCCCTGGCTGCGTGCTGCATCCGGTTAACATATGCAAAACGAACCCAGCTACAGAAATTAAACTATTTTTCTCTTGATTGAGAGCAGATATACAGAAATGGTTATAAGTCACAGATCTGGCTTTTAATAAAGCCAGATTTCTTAATTAAAAGCAGTATTGTTTAAACATCGTAGTTAGAAAAAAAAAGAGAGCTGTACAAATGAAAATCTCATATTATATGCATCCCAAGTGAATTTAACACATTACCTGAGGCCAAGCCAAATTAAAATCTAGACTTTCCTTTTGTAAACTCTTAGCAACCACTATGAACAGACAAATTTTACTTAGTGATGAATTTTTAGGGTAGAGGTCAAGGAAAAGAAAAAAAAAAGAAAAAAAGATATAGCTTTGGCATTCAAAAATATCTTTCCACATTTTAGAAGTGAGTTCATTGCTTCTATTTATAATCCAGTATTTTGGGTTTCAAATTGGTTGCAGGTTTTGATATTACACTGCTCAGGACAGTACTCTTCATCTTAGTGTTTTAGTAGGAGAAACTGAAAGGACACAATAATACTCTTGAACAAGAACTTGAAGAACCTCCTAATAACTTGTACTTATTTTGTGTTTCCTTTAGAATGTCTTTAAACAAAAGATGCTACAGTTCTACTGGAAAAGAGACCGTCATTCAAGCAATTTTTAGAAAAAAATCTAGAAGGGACAGAGTAGGACACTAAGGTGTTTATGACCAGACAGGAGTCTGGATAGAGCAGAATTATTATAATATCATCAAATTCTACACCTATTTAGTCATTTCATTAATTGTCACAACTTAATATTCTGTTAATATTCTCAGTGTCTTTGTAACACACCCCAAAAGATGCTTTCTAAAATTCTTTCAAAAGAGTAAAAGAGACACTCCAATTGTCAGGTGGACAAATCTGCTAACAGATTATTCAAATAAACTCTTATTTATAAATGTGGTAGCAAAACTATTCTCTACATTAGATTTCACAATCCCATAACATGTATGTACACAAACAAATTTACCATATGTTTCTACCTCCCGTACTGAGGACACAAGGGACCATTTTGGCTTCTTTAATGATAATGATAATAATAAGGATAGGAATAATAATAATAAGCCCAACCTGCTCATATTTGAAATTTCGGCAATGTTGAACCCTTAAATCAAAGTCACCAAGATGAATGGTTTAAAATACCATCAGTGACCCAGCAACTCATTCCTGGATATATGCTAGGGGAATGGAAAACATGTGCTCACACAAAAACTTGTGCATGAACATTTATAGGTGGATCACTCATAACAGCCCCAAACCAGAGACAAACCAAGTTACCTATCACCTAATAAATGGATAAATGTAATGTGGTCTAGCCATGCCATGGAATATTATTTGGCAGTGAAAACAAAAGAAGCTCTATATGTGGTAAAATATAGGTAAACCTTGAAAAGATTATGCTAACTAACAGCAGCTAGTCAGAAAGACCAACATGTGTTATGTGATTCCATCTATGGAAAATGTCCATATTTAGGCAAATTTATAGACAGAAAGTAGATTGATTAGTGGTTGTTGGAGGCAGAGGGTGGGAAATAAGTGCTTGGTGAGTTTTCTTTTTTACAGTGGGCTAAAATGTCCTAAAACTAGACTGTCATGATGGCTGCACATTCCTGTGAATGCATTAGAATACATTGGATTGTATACTATAAATGGGTGCACTTTTGTTTTCTCAATAAAGCTGCTTTAGAAAAGCCAGTAGCAGTAGTTATTTAAACCTGAAATTCTAATTCCGCACTGTACAAATTTGTATACTCTACAAATCTCATCACTTACCATGAGTGAATGTCTGTTGGCTGAAAGAAGGCCGGTTCCGTACCCTGAGCCCAGACCACCCATTGCTCCATTATGAGAAGGTCCAATGATCCCGTGCATGTCTCCATGACCACCAGGCACAGCTGTGGATGGGCCCACTGCATGATTCCGGAGAACATGAATCGCATCATCCAGTCTTTCTAAACGATCTTCAATTCGGCTTTGCTGTTGGTTAATAAATGACGTAAAATTCGATTTAGTTTGAAATACATACATAGGTTAGTTACATAAGGAGATCTTTGATGGACACAAACCACACTTTGGTTCTTGAATATATGTTTGCAATACAGTTAATTGCCTTCGAACAATAATAAAAATACATAATGTCCTTCCTGGAAAACTGGTGGGAAATGCTGATGTTAAAATTATAGTATTATTTACATGAAAAAGTAAATTAAAAAAAAGTTCTTCCAGGACATTACTGTGTACGTATGCTACACTGAACTGTTTTAGCTTGAAAGATAATTTAGATTTACTCTATGAAAGATCATTCATTGAATTTCAAGAAAGAGTCTGTGCGTTAGGAGTCTTATTGAGGAAGTAGGTTCCTAAGCCATCGTGATGGAGAGTTGGGCCTACATTTTTTTTCGACTAGGCACATATCTAAAAAGAACAACAACAACAAACCAAAACCCAAGACATTCCGGAAGGGATTAGTTAAGAGTTCAGTGAAAGATGGTCTATTTGTGGTTTCCTAATTAAATTATTTTCAAGTCAGAGACAGGTAAAAGCATACAGATTTTGGCTTCCTACTGAGTTTTTAACCTGTGTGAGTTGCTTCTTGTCTACTATCAATACCAGTCTACATGTGTGTGCACATGTGTATGTAAGGCCCCAAGTTTGTTACAGAAAAAAAAAATCACTAAAATTCTATCAACCAAAGTAATGTAAAACTTGAAGACTGAAGCATCATAAAGATCTGACCCCCTCATTCACTGAGGACGATGTCTCAATGAGTTCAAAGCCCCTCTATGGTACAGAGTCACTACCTCATATAGTCATAAGCCCAAGGACCTTTTTCATTCTAGCCACATTAGGATTCTAGTTTACCTCAGCTAGGTGAGGCCTCCATTAGAGGAAAAAGAAAATGACGAGACACACACAAACACACACATACACACACACATGCACACACACACTTTTTTGCTTTTATCAATGACATCAGGTATTACTCTCTGTTGTACCCTTTAAAAATGTAACATCTCATTGATCCTTGCTGCTCATGGGTACTACAGATAGAAAAGACATTAATATCCCTTTCATACAGAGGGTAAAAAGAGGCTCAAAGAAAAGAAGTGAATTAATTCCTCAGTGTCCCACTGCTGGGAAACATAAAGTCAGGGTTGGAATCAAGAGTTCTGGACTTTAAACCTTGTGCTGCTCTGTACCGTATCAAGCTATGATCTACTCTGATTCCTCATGTGCTGGGCAAACAGATGGGCCAGTTCTACGGCATGAGAAAAACAATTTCTAATTATTCTATATCGACAGGAAGAATGTGTGTCTAATGGAGTTAGTCTATGGTACAGAGCATTTTGATTCGGTGGGCTTGGGAGTTAAACCATCTCCTGAGACTGCTAACTCTGCTACTATTTGACCTGGGAAAAGTCACTAACCTTCTCTGAGCCTGAGTTTCATTTTTAAATAGTTTTTATATAGATGGACACCATATCTTTATTTTTTATTTTTAGCTGAGGATTGAACCTAGTGCTTCACACGTGCTAGGTAAGCGCTCTACCAACTGAGCTAGAGTCCCAGCCCTGAGCCTGAGTTTTTTAATTTATAAAAATGGGAATGATACCACAATAGCAAGACTGTGGAACCAACCCAGATGCCCTTCAATAGACGAATGGATTAAAAAAATGTGGCATTTATACACAATGGAGTATTACTCTGCATTAAAAAATGACAAAATCATAGAATTTGCAGGGAAATGGATGGCATTAGAGCAGATTATGCTAAGTGAAGCTAGCCAATCCCTAAAAAACAAATGCCAAATGTCTTTTTTGATATAAGGAGAGTAACTAAGAACAGAGTAGGGACAAAGAGCAGGAGAAGAAGATTAACATTAAACAGGGATGAGAGGTGGGAGGGAAAGGGAGAGAGAAGGGAAATTGCATGGAAATGGAAGGAGACCCTCAGGGTTATACAAAAGTACATACAAGAGGAAGTGAGGGGAAAGGGAAAAATAATACAAGGGGTAGAAATGAATGACAGTAGAGGGGGTAGAGAGAGAAGAGGGGAGGGGAGGGGAGGGGAGGGGGGATAGTAGAGGATAGGAAAGGCAGCAGAACACAACAGACACTAGTATGGTAATATGTAAATCAATGGATATGTAACTGATGTAATTCTGCAATCTGTATATGGGGTAAAAATGGGAGTTCATAACCCACTTGAGTCAAAGTGTGAAATATGATATATCAAGAAATTTGTAATGTTTTGAACAACCAACAATAAAAAATTAAAAAAAAAATGGGAATGATAATATATACTTCTGAGTGTAAATGCAAGCATGAAAAGACAGACATGTGCCTATCCTAATGCTGGCTCTCCTAGTGGAGGGAAAGAGGAGTTTCTACTTATGAAGCCCCTCTGAGCATTCAGATCCATAAGGAATGGAAGCTGTAGTCCAGAACTATAAATAGCCTTATAGTTTTAAAGCTGGAAAAAGCCTGTTTGGGATGGATGGGTCCTGAAGAATGACCGAAGGAGGCAAACTCTTAAAACAGCTATGCATTACTTAGGTGTAGACTGCCAATCAATGGGTTGGGTAGCGCACATGCTATCTCTGTGTGTGGTTCTCTTTATTGGCTAAAATGCATAGCTGGATGATTCAGACACTCCAGCAAGGAGAAGAGCACAATGAAGGAGGGAATCCATCTTTGTGTTTTCATCTTTCGATTTTCCTTAAAGAGGGATCAGAGAGGGAAGATACAGAAACACTGACAAGATAACACTAAGTTAGGGAAATCCATGCCTTCTGTTTCATCTAGAAATTTTCAGGAAAAAAAAGGAAAACTCAGCTTTGAAGGACTAATGGGCTTGCCCCACTTCTGGCTACCCTCCCCATCTGACTCATGTCAAGACCAGATACTGCATGGATCAGGGTGGCTGCATGCGTATTTCCAGCCCCATCCACCAAGAGTTGAGGAAGACTAAAGTGTCAGACACTGAATCATCATGAGTATTTATAGTACGAATTATTCCCATGGAAATGTTCAGCTATTTCCTCCTGAAGAGTAGGCACTTCTGTACTATTAACAATATTACTGAATTCCTATGAGAACCACAGTGAATGAGGAAATAAACAGTAGGTCTCTTATTCAGAGGTTAAGAGGAAACCTCCTATGAACCTGTTATTCTGGGAACCAAAGTAGAGGTAGCAGGAATCTTTGAGTGCTCTAGCCGTGTGGCTGAGCAGGAGCAATAGCTGGTTGATGGCAGGGAAGTTATTTAATCACAGGCAGGGGTCTCTCCCAACCATGGGGGTAGAGGTCATTATCCTGCTAGGATTCTGAGTCTCTTCTTTGGTCCTAGATGCTCAGTACCCCAGGCCTTCCACTGTAGTAGTATCCAGGTAACCATCAACAAACATAAACAAGCAGTCTAATGACTGGCTGTAATCAAGCTGGTGTGCGTAACATTGACCTATAGTCCCAGTGACAAGGAGCATCTTGGAATGTGAAGTAGATGGAAAGGAAAAACTGGATTGGAAAGTGGCTGCAGAGAAGCAGATGAGACTTACCAAGGAGTGCAAGGGTCCTTCATAATTGGGAGATGATGAGGCCTGACCTCCATTTCTTGACCAAACAGCAGTGCCTGCTGATAGTACAATGAGAATTAATATTAGATTCATATCAACTTAATAATCAACTGAATGTACTTTTTAAAAATAGTCCTTTGATGCTGATGTTCTCTTAAACAATAAGGTAACTACATGTGAACTTCTCACACCAGAATGTTGTGCAAAGAAAACATTTTCTTTCTTCCTTTCATCCTTTCTTTTGCGGTGCTGGGGCATGAACACAGGACCTATATGCACATTAGGCCACTGAGCTGCTTCCCTAGCCCAGGAAAACCCTTGAAATGTAAAACATGTAGACTCTACATGGACCCTCAGTTCCTTCTAGAAGAGAACATTTAATGGAGTCTTAATTTCAGCTGAAAAGGCTCCTGGTAGAAGAAATCAGTTACTATAGAGTACTTTTAAGGGTACACAGAAGGAGGGGCTGTTAGATCTTTATGCAAGGCTAGTTTATGTTCAACCAAAATTCCCTCATCAATGGAAAGCACCTGTGCTACTTGTTTTATGTGATCTATGGGTTGGCATTGTAGCTCAGTGGTAGAGCATTTGCCTTGCATGTGTGAGGCACTGAGTTTAATCCTCAGTACCACATAAAAATAAATAAATAAAATAAAGGTATTGTCTCTCTCTCTCTCTCTCTCTCTCTCTCTCACACACACACACACACACACACACATACACAAACCTGTATAAATGTATGAAATGAGATTATTTTTTAGGAACATTTTTTTGGGCGCCTGGGGATTAAACTTAGAGCCCTGAGCCTCTTGGAAACATTTTAAAAGAATTAGACTACTTAGAAAAAAATCCACTAAACAGAAATTTTGAAACTCCATACAATAGTAACAACTAATATTTTCTTGTGAAGAAAATAAACATATTACTATTCACAAAACCTGATGGTAAAGAAAGATTCTTATTAGAATGGGCTGGGGTTGTAGCTCAGTGGTAGAGCACTTGCCTACCATGTGTGAGGCACTACATTCTATCCTTGGCACCACATTAAAAAAAAAAAAAAGTATAGGTATTGTGTCCATCAACAACTTAAAAAAAATTAAAAGAATACATATTCTATGTCTAACCTGCAAAATAAATAAAAGCCAATTTTAAATTTAATATGTATTTAGGGTACAAAGCTCAGAAAATACATAATTCAAAAAAAGAAAAAACTAATAGCTATGATCTCACTGAAATCTCATGCCCCGATGCTGTTAGCACTTTTAAAATCCATTCTTCCTGTCTTTTCTGGGTATGCCTGTGTATTTTTATGCTAAACAAAAATAGAATATTTTGTTCAATTACTTTTCTTGACAGAATTTGGACAGAGCCGTCAGTGTGAAAATAGCAATCTGTCCCCTTATTTATATCTTCATAAAAGTTCTTTCTCCCCAGCACGTGGTCTTCCCAGGATGCATTTCCAGGACCCAGAAAGTGGCATCTGCAGCCTTGTTTCTGTGCCTTCCACCTAGAACAGGCTGCACAGGCTGCAGGCACGTGTGCTAGTCCACTGAAAGGTTACGCATGCTGACTTTCTGGTCCCACCATAAGCTAGAAGCGGAGCCACAGTGTAGGCTTGGAGCTCTGGCATTACTATCTATTGCTAATGGCGTAACCTTGGCAAGTTGCTTGCCCTTGCCCACCCATCCTCCTTCTCTTCCTTCCTCTCTCCTTCCTTCCCTTCCTCCCGTCCTTCCTTTCAAGGATGGTGGGGATTGAACCCAGGGCCTCTCTCATTCTAGGCGAAAATGCTCTACCACTGAGCTACACCACCCATCCAAGGGCCTCAGTACACATATCCATAGAACTGGGCATTAGACTAAATTAGTTGTTCTCACAGTTTAAAACCTGAGAACATTGTTCGCTTGCTTGTTTGTTTTTTCCAAATTAGAACACATGGAATTAAGAGTTGCTTTGTTTGAAATGGGGACATGGGGCGTTCCATTAACTCAGATGCTCTCTCCCTCCGGCCTCGAGTGCTTTCTACCCAATCCTTGTCTGGTTCTAGACACTGCACAAGAGATCATTTTTCAAAGCCTAAGAATCCGGTGCAGAACTAGAAGAGTACAACACCACTGAACTTCACTTTCCATTTGTGCCACGGGGAATAATACTTCATGATCCTCTTACGATTATCTTCATTTCTTTCAGTTTTAACTTGGCCTCTTTAGAGATGCAGTTACCCATCCCTTTTCTTATTCTGTGACCCTCCCCTATCATGGAGGCTTGGAAATAGCTGATATGAAATCGCATTTTAGTCACAGTCATCACTTAGGAAATTTCTGCAACAATCTGAAACTTTCCATTTTATATGGGAACCCAATTTATAATGGGCCATATGAACATTGCATATAGGGGATAAAACAGGGTTCGAGGATGCAACTTTTAGGCAAGGGATCCACTATGGATTACAGTGGATTACTGAAAACTGACCTACTAAAATTCATAGTGGATCCCTTGCCTGTCAGTTTTCAGTCAGGAATGCATGTGATTTAGTTTTGTTTGGAAGCCACCTGTCTTCTTTCCAGGGTGAGACAGGTATCAGGTAAGATTTTCTAGATGCGTTTATACAGGAAAGATATTAAGTCTTTTAAATGCATCTCTGAAATGTTAAATGACTTACTGACATATCCTTCAACTTATAATTATTCATTTTGAAGCCATATTTCATGTTAATTTGTTATATTTTAGAGGCAAACATCTCCTATGCTCCAAAAAAATTGTTTCACAATTTATTTACAAAATTATAGTTTCTCTCAAATATTCCAATGGCACATATTTTAAAGAGGGAATAATTTGGAAAGGCTGAAATGTCTACAGGAAATGATCTGTGTAAGTAGCCTACATTTGATGACTATATAGTCTATATTCATATTTACAATTACATTAACCAAGTTTTTTCCATCTGAGATGTTTTGTTGGAATATATTATTCTGCTGTTGGGAGTCTTTGGCAGAGCTAAGAAAAGTTTAAGAAATAAATTTTTCATGTGCCTGTGTAGTCTAAAAGGATCATCTAATTTTTAAGAAAGATTTTGGACGTAAATGTACTGTCATATTGTAATCTGTCTCTCCCATCCTGTTTTATTTGTCTGTGATGTTTTCGGTTTTGGGGTGGAGGAGGGGAGTGAATTTCTATTTGCTACAGCAAAATGTATAAAAGGGAAATCATTCTCAAAAATTGTTACTAGGATGAAACATGATTTAAGATACAGTACCTGAGAGAGAAGGAGGAGAGCCAACAGGAGTTGAAGGATTTGATGAAAAGCTGTTGTTAGTGTGATCTGGAGAATAGATCTTAAATGGTAAGAAGGAAAAAAAATCCTTCATTTATTAGGAATAAACAATTAACAGTTTTTAAAACTACAAAGCTACCAATGCAATTCATTTAAATATTACAAGTTATCAAATATATGTAAGCATCAACTACAGTACCAATACTCTGAAATGCAAAATGTAACACCTTCTTCTACAAAATGAGAGGTTAGACAGTATCATTTCTAAGGTTTTACCTCCAATGCCTTTCATTATAATTAGGGCATTCTGATTCCAAAGCTATAGAAGGCCCAGATTAAATAAGCACTTTTACTTAGGACACAATGTTAATATAAGTTGGATTTATTTTACAATCCCAATGGTTAGGAAAAAAGCAACCAGAGACAACCTCCACTTACATTTGCAACTGATAATGTTTAGCTTTTGACAAAAATATCAGGTATAGTTCCTTGGTCAAATAAGGTGTGCCATTTTGTCACTGGGGAGCATCCAGGAAGAGAACCATTTAATTCTGTCTTCCTAGTAGTGGGTGGGCAAAGCAGAGAAGCCAAGTCCCCCAGGTGCCAATAATGTGATGATTCCTCATTTTTTAAAAATGCCTATTCCAAAGTGTTTTAGAACTATCCTGGCAAAGCTAGCATTATTGGTCAGTGAGCACCATATTACTTTAAAGAATAAAAAGAAATCTACATAGAAAATCTAGAAACTGAAAGGCACAGAGAATATCCCCAGATCAATAAGTGAACACTCTAGCTTAGCCAACACTGTGAGAAAACAAGATGTTAGAGACCAGCCATGGACAGGACACAAAACCGCGCCCCCTCAACTTTTCCAGTGATCATTATGCAGGACAGCTAGTATTTTCTAAAAAATCAAAGATATTTGCCATTCATTTTCTAAAATTCCAAATGTCCACTTCTGATTAAAGTTCATCCTGCTACAATGGTACGCGTGGAGTCCAAAGTCAATATTTCCTCACCGAAGCAAGTGCTTTCCCCAGAGCGTCTCCAGTCTGGGAGCTGCCTGCTGCCCCGCTTCCTCTATTTGCTGCAAAAACAAAAGGCAGAATATGAAAACCAGGCAGTGAGACGTCTAACAATTTTCTATTCCTGGTCCATTTACTCACAATTTAATTGCATTTTTAATGCTAATTACAACACATTAATCTTTAATTAGCATTAATTTGTTTGCTGAGGTAGATGTCAAATATATTCATGTTACATTTTTTTACAGATAAAATATAAACCTGACACCTTGGTTTAAAGACAAAGTGTTTTAGTTGCTATTACTTTCCCTCTTGTTGGTTAGGAGTGGTTGCTGGTGACCAGTTGCATGCCAACATGTGGCGGATATTGCTAAGGTGTAGGCAGCACTTCCAGGACACTGAAGTCCCCCAAATCCAGCTTTTCTTTATATATTTTAAAATATCAAATTGAATTACCTTTATGAATAATTTACACCTCTTTTCAAATAAAGAAAAACCTGATACCCAGCAAAATGGGGTTTTCCTCTGAGTGCTCCACAGCTGAATGAAGCAAAACCAACAATAAAAGAATTTATAACTGGTCCAGCTAACAAGGAGAGAAAATATTTTGAATACTTTAAATAACACGTTTTTCCACACACTTAAATCCATGTTCACATTAAAAAAATATTTGACTGTTATGCTACTAAAAGTCAATATGTTCTCAAATTCTAGAGATAAAATAAGTCATAAAGCTTTTCTACCACCTTAAACATTGATATTTTATCTACAAAGCGAATTAACAAAGGATAGTATAATACAAGGCATATACCCCAGTGTATAAATGAAAGCCAGCTCTATTTAACATGCACCTTCTGAAGGTAACTTGTTTTTAAGACTAAATGGTAAAATGGGTGAGCCAGGGTGGGCAAAGCAGAGAAGCCAAGTCCCCCAGGTACCAATAATGTGATGATTCCTCATTTTTTAAAAATGCCCTTCAGGATTAAAACGATGCCTAGAACTTGGGGCATGTTGTGTGTATTAAGGCTTCAATCCAAGCAAAGGGGCATAGTATTCAAACAAAACCTATGCAATTTCCAGGGGAAGATGTTCTCACTGTTTGGTGAAATGAAAAAAGGAAATCTTGAATATGCTTATGACTTAAGCAGAATTTCACCGCACACTTGTGTAATCTAAAACATTTTCCCAGCTGTACCAGTGAACCAGAGAGACCTTTTTGGGACCAGCAGGCCTCATCCTCTCCCTGACCTGTAACATGCAACGGTGCAGACAGACCTTCAAGGGTCAAATCCTGTGCTTCTCCAAGTCCTGATTTCATTTCTCCTGGCCTCTGTTCAGCATAGTAAAGTTCTGCTTGTCACTTTTACATATTTAGATGTTGCACATCAGTTCCATCATCTTTTTTTTTTAAATATTGTTTTAGTTGTACATGGACACAATATCTTTATTTTATTTATTTATTTTTATGTGGTTCTGAGGATCAAACTCAGTGCCTCATGCATGCAAGGCAAGTGCTCTACCACTGAGTCACCACCCCAGTCCACGTCATCTTTTGATACATGTTTATTTGGTTAACAAGACCCGTACACATATTCATTTGTGAATTTCTAAAATAATGAAAGAAACTGGTAATATGATCAAGTGAATATGATTAGACTCAATGAAAACCTCTTCTTTTTCATATCACAAATTTATGATATTAAAACTACATGAGTTATTAGTACTCAAGATTATACATGTAAGAAATTTCTTGAAATCAGGGAATGGCATCCTAGAACTGGGCTAGTGGAAGAAATCTAAATAGAAATCAAACATATTCAAATTTTTAATATAAGATGAAAGATAAATGAAATTATATCTAGTGAGAAAATGAGAAGAATTTCTGTGTAAGTTCTTTAAAAACTAAACACAGCCATGGAGCTCAGTGGTGCATGCCTGTAATCCCAGTGACTTGGGAGGCTGGGGCAGGAGGATGGCAAGTTGGAGGTCAGTCTCAGCAATTCAGCTAGGCTCTCAATAACTTAGTGAGACCCTGTCTCAAAATAAAAAAATAAAACCGAAAGGGCTGGGAATGTAGCTCAGCAGTAGAGGACTTAATACCAAAATAAAACTAAAACCTAAACGCATTTCTGAATAAAATATAATGAAGATCTGAAGACACAGACAGCACTAGTAGTATTTTGCATATATTATCATGGTATCTGGGAAAGGAAAATTGTCTTCTTTTCCCTCCTCTGTAAGTAACATTATCTTTTTATTATTATCCCAGCTGCTTGGGAGGGAGGCTGAAGCAGGTGGATCCTGAGTTCAGAGCCAGCCTCAGCAACGGTGAGATGCTAAGCAACTCAGTGAGACCCTGTCTCTAAATAAAATACAAAAAATAGGGCTGTGGATATGGCTCAGTGGTTGTGTGCCCCTGAGTTCAATCCCTGGTACCCTCACCCCCCCAAAAAAAAAATTAGAGTGAGCAATGAAAATAATTTGTGATATCTGCTTGATATGAATACAGATCTTCATGAAGTGTAAGTTTAGAGCCACATTGGGATGGGAGGGGGCAGGGATCGCCTTATCTAACAAAGAACCTACACCAAAAAAAAAAACAAAACAAAACAAGATATTGTTTAATTACAGGTAAAAATTTGCCACAGAAGTAGTTTTCAAAAGGGCTTAAATTTTAAAAGATCAATTCTTCCTTTGAACAATTTAAAAATGAGAATTATTAATTTTTTAAAAGAAAATTCATGAAACCAAACAGGAAGAATTGAAAACCAATAAAAATAATTTAAAGAATTTTACAAAATAAATTATATATCACACAAAATCGTACTTTAGAAGAGATAAGATATTCCTGTTATGATTTCTTATAGCAGAACACCTTTCTAACTAAGCTTTCTCTTAGTGTCGGTTTTATAAACAGAGATACTAAGACTCAGGAAGTAGTACCAGAAATAGAACCAGTTCCTTACCTCAACTTGTCATGAAAATGTTTCAGAAAACTACAAAGGCTACTCATGGAAGTCACTATAAGAACAGAGTATTTTTTAACATGAGGCCATGTTACCTTGCAACAGCTGGACCACCAAACCCCAGGGCTTAAATTTCAAAGAAGTTTACTGGGGCCAGTTCACCCTCTCACTGGGAATGCCTTTTGTTCTGTTCCAGGACACCCTGGAGGGGACACATGTTCAAGATTCCCTGAACATGTTAAGTGAAATGGGTCCTTCTCTTAAGAGATTTCTCTCTTTTTTTGTGTATGACGGACATATCAAAGGGCATACGGAATCAGAAAAGGAATATACTTTTAATCTCAAATGGTCCAATTTTTCCCCTCCTCCTCCTCCTCCTTAAACAAATGAATCATGTTTAGCAAAACATGTATCAAATTTACATTTTCAGCTTTACTATATCAGTACCTGATTACTCTCCAAGCCTAAGTTTTGGTCAACTTATATCATCAGCAATTACCCAAATACCCCTTGTCACAGAAATATGGCCTTCACTTGGGAAGGGCTGTATGGATTCCTTGCATTAGTTTGGTTCTAATTGATTTCTCTTGCTCAAGAGAAAAAATAATGAGCCTCTGAATCGAGTGGCAACATAAATATGGATGGGAGATGAGCAGTTATGAAGAGGAACTGTAATTTTGTAGGAGGATTCGACACTGCCAGCCACCCAAGAATTGTTCAGCGGGACAGATCACAGGTGCTGTGGCCGGCTGGAAGATGAAGCGGCAAGCAGGGCCGTGGAGCCGGGCTGCGTGCTGGACCACCCTCTGTCTTGGCCTTCGCTTTGGGGAAGTGGCAATTCCCTTCAGAACACACCCGAAACAAAACACTGGGATGAGTGGTGCCTGGGGATCAAGTTTTGAAAAAAATCAGAATTTGGAAAATGTGTTTCCCTTTTATTGCACACTCATAACCTGAGGCCGGGAACATCATGAAGACATCAAAGGAACAAGAAGTGCAATCCGTGGTGTGTTTGCCTTAGCGAGGACAACTGCTTTAGCATGAAGTTTCTCTGAACTGTGTCCGAGTGACCCTTATGTCATAAAACCAGTAGGAGCAGCATTACGATGCCCTGAGCTTGTCTGTGAAGATGAGCGAAAGGGGAGTGTTTCCAGCACTCCTGCTACTGTGGCATTTTTAGAAGAAAAACTCGAATATGGTCTGCAATGCTGGAATACAGAGTAGGAAGGATTCCAAGGAATGAAACGGGGGTGGGGAGGGGCGCGCTTGTGACCATGTGCAGGAAACGGTGAAGAGGACTTAAATGAGACTCGCTTGTGGTTCTGCCTTGGTGGTCTCTGTAACTACCAAACACCCAACATGATGCTGCTGGATACGACTCACATTACTCTTTTACTCTGTGCCTGGTCATCACCCAACTGTATCTGAAGGCTCAAGATCCTTGTAAAATACAAAGTGAATGTTATGTGACTAATAATAAAATGACTGTGAAACCAGGTCCTCCAGGGAAAAGGGACACAATGTTCCTGCTAGAAAGTCACATCCTAAAATGTATCATGTCATACAAACATGTCATTAGAAGTGAAAGTTGTTAGCCAGATTAATTCATGATCCAGCTAGATAGTTCAGAGTAATCTTCAGCACATGGTGTATTAAATCAATCTTGGTAGTCTGTTCCTTCAACACTACTTGGTTTGAGCTTTGAAAACATAGGAAATATCTTGCATTAGGAAGCGGGCCAGTGGAAGACTAATAAAACAACAATAGTTATTATATCCATTGTGTTAGTTATATGCCTGATTCCTTCTAAGGGGAAGGGAGGATGTTGAGCCCCAAGCCACAAGGGGTACATTTTGTGAATGTACACAGATGGCAACTCCCAGTGGGGAGCTGGAGAGAGTGCTCAGAGGCTCTCAGCTTGAAAAGTTTCAGTGGACTGGGCTATGGTCAAGGGTCCTCTTACTTCTGGTCAGGAAGGGCTACATACAGCAGTTAGGAAGGAAATACGTGGATAGCAAAATGCACGTGGCTACTTTCCTGTAGTCATTTCTGTTCTCTCTAGCTTGTACTAATCATTTTTTAACTTTCCTCCTCTGTATGTATGCTCACATGCACAGGAATTAAACTGCTCTGCTTTTGAGATATACCAGCAGCATAACATTAAAAGGGTTTTAGGAATCAAGTTGAAGGACTCTAATGCTGGTAACCTAAAAGCTTCTCTCCTTAATGGGGCGCTACACCAGCTGAGCTACTGTGAATCTGTGCTGTGTTCTACCTATCACTTTCATATAATTCTAGGGTACTTAAGACCCTCTTTCAATTCAGAAATGGGTAAAATCATCTCCAGAGCTTGCTAACAAGGTTTGAGAGCAGACTGCATATCACAAATAAAATATTTCAGTCTTCAATTCTCTCATTGATTCATGAATGAACGCATCATTTAAAAAATAAAACCCTCTCATTAATATAATCTAAGTTTGATTACTTCCTAAAGGTTTCTCAAAAAACAATACTGAGGATTAAAAGACAAGAGAAAAATAAAACAACGAAACAATGGTCACTTCTTCTAAGAAAAACAAATAACTACCCCAAACCTCAGTGAGCACTTTCCCTCTGTGAAATGCATAAGATGGACAAGAATTCAGTGTGCAGTTACACAGAGGTTACTGTCTGATGGCTCCAGAGCGCCAGTCTCACTCTATAGGCCCTGGGCTAGACTACTCTCATTTCGGGACAACTGCTGACCACTAAGAAGCACACTGCCACATAAAACTGAGAAGCAGACCTGGTCTTCGGAATTGAGAAGGCCGCTTCCTGAGACATCAATGCCATGCATTCAAAAAGATCGCACTGCCTTGAAACTTTTTACCAAGAAAACTTGAAAAATGTGACATCCATGTGTTAGTGCTTGAGCCCCATTCTTATGGCATTAGTATTGCTTACAGTTATTTTCTACAGAATCATGTGTGTAATCTCAAACATGTGTCAGGCTATGTGTTCCCTATTTACCAATTATTTAATTAGCTCTGTTTGTTCTTTGAGATATAGACAACGTAATATTTCTTTATTTCCTGCATTTCAGAATGAGTGAATGTACGCCAAATATTTTCAAAAGTCTACAGATGTATCCTATTAATCCATACAGTTTGTTAGTGAAGTATCACTAACACCAGAAGAGAAAGCTTCTTTTCTTGTCATACAGACATGGTGCCATTGCTGCCTTCAACCACCCACTAAAAACCAAACTGAAGTCTAAGAAAACTGAAGTGGAAAGAAACATGATCCTTGGGAACACTGCACAGTAAGAAGGCTTATCATCATCCTTAAATTTTCTTTGTACTTAAAGAATTGGAGGACATGTTATTTTTAAGGGAGAACATTCTAGAATTCTAGGAACCTTAAAGTGCTTTCTGCATTTACGCAAATCAATGGTAGCCTATTCCTCCAAAACGCTGAACTGTCATAGCTAGTTACATCCTAAAAGATTATAAACTTTTTCATATTCTGCTAATGGATTTTGACAAATACATGCATTATTGTGAGATATTTCATATAATACATTTCCTAAAAATTCATTTTCTGGCTTTCAAAAATCTTATATACTTTCCTCTTTTCAAATTAGAGCTCTTTTATTACTTTCTAGACCCTTAGCAGGGTTCTGTAGTCTCTAACAAGTTAAACCCATCCTTAAAATGCAGAAGCCGTATATGGCTCCACTGGACCCAGACCCACTAAGAGGACAGTCCTGTGTATTGACAAGCTCATGATGAGGCACCAGTTGAAACCAAGTAGATCTCACTCCCACTGTGCCTGTGGCTAAGCTGCCCAGAGCTCACCAAGGATGATTTACATGATCTCGTAATATCTCTTTCTTCCTAAGTCATAGTGCCTTTCCCACCAGGAAGATTGTTTTGCAGATTAATCTACTTTTTTTTTTTTTTTTAACAGAGCCTAAGTATGTATTCCTCAACTCAAGGGTCTGCTCCACCTTCATACCTTCCTAAAAAAGAAAATTACTCAAACCACAACTAGACAGGAAATCTGTCATGTAAGAGGATGAATGACTGGTCATTCTCCTTTATAACCAGATCTCATGACAGCAGAAAGGGGCTTTCCATTTGTCAAACCGCACTGAAGTGAAATATGCTTTTCTCTCTCTTTCAGTTCTGCACTTTTCTTTCTTCTTGTTTTTCAAATCTGCCAAAAGTGCACTGAGAGCTAAGAAACTTCCCCATGTGACCTCTGTCCAGAGCTCTCCAAGGTCAAAATGGTGTAACATACTCCTAGAAGTTTTATTATTAAGTCACGGAAATGGAAACTCTTTCCTAAACTGGCTTCTCAGTGAGACATGATAGTGGAGGGCTGCTAGATGGATCACCCCAAGAGTGAAATAAATTACCGAATAAGCAGAGAAGGTATTATTTAGGCAGAAATTATATTTGCAACATTTCAAAATGCATCTCCTTCATCAAAAAACGCTCCCACATAAGTGATTCACACCACTTACAAAAGTTCTACAGACCATCAAAAAAAAAAAAGAAAAAACTGTCAAGAACTAAGAAGGATAAATAGCAGCATTATTCTGTCACACAATGTTCTCTCAAAAACAGATTCTAGAGTATTCTCATTAGTGACCCTCTGGGAATGATTATGAGGCCAAGGGAAGTGTGGACTGAACTAGAACCAGAGGGAGTAGTGGCCAAGGAAGTCAGGTTTCAAGGAGGGCAGGTAATGCCAAGACGGAGCTTGCTGCCCAAGTGGATGGAAGCCGTCGGGGCAGATCCAGGAGTGGCAGCTGCCTCCCTCTAGGGTAGCGGGACCCCCTGCCTAGATTTTCCCTCAGGAGGAGAGTACTCTTGGGCAACCACCTGCTTGAAGGCGAGGACCACAAGGCAAGTCATGACAATCAGGGACGACCTTCTTGGCCCTTAACTCATTACAGAGGAGTACCCAGTTCTTTCTGGCCTTCTGATGCCAGCCATCTTCTCTCTTGAAAGAGAACACTCTCCTGCCAGAAGCACTCCATTATGCCACATTCTCCAGAGGCCTGAGCGCACCTCGCTATCAAGAGTCACCTGAACCATTTCACAGGAGGAGGGTGTCACCGTCATGGCTAAGGACTTAGCAGAGAAATGGATCTGGGAAGTGGCAAATGACCACTGTTAAGAGCTATTCTGGTCCCTTTCTCACCTGTCGTCCAGGGATGGTCTTAAGAGAGGTTCACTGTGTTCACCGAGAGTGTGAGAAGCGAGTGAGTTTGGGTCTACTTAAACCCTTGTTAAACGTAATGTCTTCTAATGGACAAAGAAGCCAGATTTCAGTTTTTTAGGACCAAAACCATGGTTATGATCAAGCCAGTGATTACTTCTGTTTGATTCACTTGTCTGTCCATTCCGTTGGGTGACAAGTGTCTTTGCTTGCCTGCTGTTCAGCTCTATGGGTAAAGAGCGGCCCGGCATTATCAACCCTGACGTGGACTCACCCATGATACTGTCCGTCCCGTTGGCAGGAGGCGTGCAGGAGGAGGTGCTGTAGTGGTTTGTGCCACTACGGTGGAAAGTGGACATCGGAGGAAGACTGGAATTGATGTCTGCTGAGGAGTGTGATGGATAGCTCTAGAGCAAGGAGAGAAAGGAGCCACATTCAATCACAAAATACTTAGTGAGTGCGTTTTCTAATACTTCTTTCAAAACTCTCCATTCTGCAATGGAGATAAGCTTTCAGAATTTCAAAAACAGGTAAGCACACATCTTGCTTAGACCTGACAGCTTTCATTTTTCAAATAACAAAATACACAGATAGCATAGTTGGTTTGGGTTTGCATCAAATGTCGAGGCATACCATGGCAACACAGGACACCAAAAAATGATCCCAACCTCTAAGTCTACAAGTCATGGTTCAAAATCATCTCCAAGACTTCAGACACATAAAATACCATTTCTCCTGTTATTTTCATGGCCTATTGGTAGAGTTAAACTGATTTCACTAAATAACACATAAAACAAACAGTAAGAGCCATAGATTTAAATTATACTTCATCAAACCTTCTGAACACTAAATGGCAAAGAGTAACCAGTTTCAAATCTTCCTGTCAAAGTGGATTATCCTTCTGAATCTCAGCAGCAAGAATAAAATGGTGAAGGACAAGAATTTAAAAAGCACTAATGCTTATATCCCTCCCCCAAATATCAACATGAAAAGGCCTCTCCCCGTGGCTGTCCTAAGCGAGCCTGAGCCAATCTGAACTGAGAATGATGGATTTTGACTTGAATTCTTTCTTTGTATGCCCTATCCACGTGGATGACTATGAAAATCACATGTTATTTTAGACATTAATTTTATTTAAGGATGAGCTTTGAGTTCGGTTGCTAAACTAGTTGTCCAAAATGTGTCTTTGCTTGTGGCAGATCACAGAGGCCATAAGGCAGTAAATTAGACACAATCCACCTATCTGCCAATGAGAACATCACTAAAGGTTCATGGTTATTTACAAAGGCACACCAGCCTATTTTTCTTTTCAAGATAAAAAAGGTATTTAATAAGTTATTCTCATAAACATTTGAATGTGTTGTAGATGTAAAAGAAAGATATTTAAGATAAAATAAACTTTTTCCTTGTATATAATTATATTGAAGGACTATGGATTATAATATTATTGGAGATGCTGTGAAAATTGTTTAATTTTAAATTACAGATCAAATATAATGTTGATATTCAGGGATGCTTAAGGGTACAACATTTGCTCAGAAAGAGAGAATCTAGTGTCTTGGTGGTTCCCTCTTGATTTTGAGAACCACTCTGAGTTCTGCTCTTCCTAGAAGACTGATTGCCTTATGACTTCTAGCTCTACCATGGTCTCTTCCCTTCTAGGAGTTCCTAATGCAACTGTGCCATTTAACGCTCAACCCTATGTTACCTGTCACTCAGGCTCTTTCAAGTCCATTTCCAAATATGCTATCAACTCCTGAAGGACAGAGAATGAAGTTGGGGTTTTTGCATGTCACAACTTATGGCTGAGTGCTAACACACAATGACACTGTAGGTTCAAGGAACAGTTTGCTATCACAGTTTAATAAACAAAAGCTTGAGATCATGGCATATTTGAGAGATAACTAAATGGTCTAGAAAATCAATCTACATTTTAGAGCTGGATTCACCAATGATACATGGATGTCTTTGAAAATATTACCCCTGCACATCTAAAATAGTCCAACTTAAAAGACTTTAGAGAGACAGACATGGTGGTGCATGTCTATAATCCTAGTGGCTCAGGAGGTCAAGGCAGGAGGATTGTGAGTTCAAATCCAGCCTCAGCAACTTAATGAGGCTCTAAGCAACTTAGCGAGACTCTGTGTCTAAATAAAAAGGGCTGGGGATGTGGCTCAGTGGTTAACTGTCCCTGGGTTTAATCCTTGATTAAAAGAAATAAGAAAAAAAAAAAGATTTCAGAAAAAGGATACATAGGGTAAGCTTAAACTGCTCCAAGTTCCTGAGAGTGCCTTTTGAACTTTTACGGTTCATGGACTCTTTCCGTGAACAAAAAATTCCTTAGGCTACTTGTTAAACTCCGTTTTACCTGACACTTGAATTTCCTAAGTAGTCCATGGAATTTTCTCTAAGAATAATAAAGTGGGCCCATTCTGCAGCAAAGCTAACCTGAAAACTAGGCAGGCCAAGGGACACCAATCTTGAAAGAGCAAGGTTAGAGTCATTTATACTTTAGGGCTAAAGACTATAATAAAATAGAAAAAAAGGAACAACGTGGAAAAAGAAATAAAAAAGAAAATGAGACGGTATGACTTCACTTCTACACAGCCCTACTCCTTGCTAAGATTTTGGAGAAGAGACAAACTATAAATCAGTCCTAAGTGTGTGAAAACCTAAAAAGAGGAATAGAATTACACAAAATATTAAATAATATTATAATCAGAAGAGGACACAGGGAAAGGATAATTTTATCAGTGAGATTTTGGACCCCTTGAACTTTATATAAAATGGACAGTGATTTGGGATTTGACACACAAAGGGTAACCACTGAGTGCAGAGAATAAAAAGAAAAATTAATCCCCATAGATTTTTAATGGGGGAAACCAATGCAATCCTGTTAAATCAGTTATTTTTAGAGATTCAGAAAATTAGATGCTGAAAGAAATTAATGAGATTTATAACTAGATTACTTTTCAGTGAAAGTATCTTGAAAACTACTGTCACTCAGAGACATAATAAACACACCACAGAGAACATTAGTGATATGAGAGTAACGTCTCTTTTAGAGGATTTAGAGATCAACTCTAAGAGGTTCTCTTAGTCTCTTCGTCCATCTATTACTGTCTGTTTTGCTTGCTACGAAGGCACAAGGGGCACATGATAAAGTGAATGCTTGTGGCTTTCCAAGCCCACTGTTTATTTTTACTTTTTTTTTTTTTTTTTTGGTACTGAGGATGTAACTCAGGGGGCACTCAACCACTGAGCCACATCCCCAGCCCTATTTTGTATTTTATTTAGAGATAGGGTCTCACTGAACTGCTTAGCACCTCACCATTGCTGAGGCTGGCTTTGAATTCGCCATCCTCCAATCTCAGCCTCCTGAGCCTCTGGGATTACAGTCTCGCCCAGCTCTTTTTACTTCTGATACTCATGATAATGTATTTAGAATCTACTGACAGAGCAAGTGTTGGAAATGTTTGCTTGGTGATTTTTTTAATCAACTTATGGGTTGATAAACTAAAAATTACAAAAATATAATACTGGTAGCACATACTAAGAAATAAAATCATGTTTTGGGCTAAGGTAGGGTTCCATGGCCTTGGCATTATTGATCTTCCATGCTGGTCTCCTGTGCATTACATTTACCACAACTCTGGCCTCTACCCACTAGATTGCAGTAGCACCTACCTCCTAGCTACAACAACAAAAATGTCCTCAGACATTGCCAAAGGTTCCCAGAGGGCCAAAATCACTCCTCATTGAGAAACACTGGGCCAAATGATTTATGTTACAAAAAGTAAAAGACAATAGAAATTTCATCATATTAAAATTTTAAATCTCCTACATTATTTCACTCTGTAGGGCAGAGACCATGCCAGACAGTGAGGACTCCATCCTATTTTTAAAAAGAACTCTGCCAAGTCACTCCAAACTTAAATCTTCTGCAACAACCCATTCCAAAGCTTAACCACAAACTCCATTCATCTGGGTGATTTTGTGTGTGCATTTGCAACAATAGTGATCAGCTGTGGGCTCCTGTGGCACAGGCTGATGCTGTAAAGGGGATTTAAAGGCTTAAAATAGGACTTGACAATCACTATTGAAACACGTGGACTTCAAGCTTTGTAATTACACATTCTATCAAAACATGGCATAAACTGATGATAGCAATAATGTCTCTAAAACGTTTTAACTTTAGAGATAATATATACGTGGTCAAATTATCCCCAACATAATCCAGAGAAAGTTCTCTTTCTTCCACCATCCCTTTATTCAGAATGAGACTAGGCAAATGCTACAGACTAAAATCATAAGGAACTATTTCTATTTTCAAGCGAAAAGACACTGACTGCCACGGTATATTCAAATTATTCTCAGTCAGCATCAGATTCTTTAAGTCACTTCACCAAGAGATTTTCATATGGTTAAATACTGAAATTACAATGACAACTAGTATATAATTCAACAGCTCCACTCTCAGTGGGGAAACTCAGTAAAATATCTTCCCATAAACTTTATTCATTTACTCTTTAAGACAAAACCCTACTCTCTGAAATCTGCTAGCTAATCGGGTTAAGAAGGAAAACCTGGTGCTCTGTGATGGACAAGTGACATTGCAAATTTGACTTCTCATGCAGTCTTTAGGGTTGTTTCTTCAAAATGATCTTTCTTCCTGGTGGGTAATATTGTTTGGGGTCACTAAAACGTTTTCGTAGTTGTTTTCTATTTTGAAATTACACTTTTTGTGCATGTAAGCGTATTTTAAAGATGTCCCTCCCCACGCCATGGAGTTACCTGGGTTTTAAAATGAAATCACTTACTGCAAAATTCTAGAGAATGACAGGAAATGAAAGAAAAAAAATTACAGGAAAGAAGGAAATCAAACATCAAATAGACAGCTTTTTCAGAAGATGGAAATTCCAACATACGAGGAGAGGGCTCCCAACTTTTATTTGTAATCAAAACTTTGCTAGGTTTGCTCATGGGGGTTCCTAGAGAAGTGGAAAATGATGGTGGAGAAGTAAAAATGTTAGCCAAAAGAAATTCTAGTATAATAACAGTTGATATTTCTATAAGTTTTCACTCCAATACCTCTATGTAAGAGGTGGGAGAAGAGGAAATTTGAAAGCCAATCATCTGCTCTTTACTGAAAATGGGCTAAAATGTGAGACAGTTTGTGATTTACACACATGAACTTGGGAGATGAGACAAAAAGGCCAATTCCTTCTCTACCATTGGCCCCTCAGGAATGCATAGGCTAATCGACCATGTGATGCCTCCATCCCTAGGACTAATTAAATATGCACATCCAAGGATATCAGGAGTATAAACTTCTAGAGTCTTTATGGTTGTGAGAGTAGAATGTAAGACCCCTTTTCACTCTGTGAAGCAGTTAAACACAAGAGGAAAGACCACAAAAATCAGAGGAAAAATCGTAAATGTGGACATGAGGAGAACAAAAGGTGCAAACTGGGACAGAAAGAGAAGTGATTCAAGTACCACTTGCACCAGGACTGGCCATGTCCTTTTGCATTGGTAGATTTGAGGTCCAGACATTTTTTTTAACACTAAATCACTGCACAAGGGATTTGAGCCCCATCTGATTTGTACCCCCAAACTAATTCATAACCAAGACTCTTCTGTTTCACTTAATGGTAGACTTAAATTCCTAAGTGGATTCTGGACTGTGGTAATTTTTCAGTCTATAAACAGTCATTTGAGTTGCTTCCTTAGGATAAATAGATTTCTTTTTAGGAGGGATGAGAGTACAGACCATGGACAGAGTGGAAACTTTCAGTAATGACAGACTTAACATCTTATGGCCCAGCACTTTCTACCTGGAGTATAGCAGAGCAGTATCCATGGCAGACTGAGGTATATGGGGGAAAAAAAAAAACAAAACCCAGAAATGTAGAAAAATGGAATCTCTCCTATGTGGAACCCCGTAGTTCCTGTTACTGATGGGAGAACCTGGAAAATACAAAGTCTTTCCTTTGCATGCTCCACGGCAGGTCAAAGTTGACATGGAAATGCCCCTATGTGATGCATACAAGCTACTCCAAAGTCCACTGAGTGGCCCTGTCCTCTGATGAATATCTTAGAAAAGCTCAGAGAACCAAAACAGGAAAAGGAACCACAGCTGAAATCCTGTCACTTGAATAGATTGTGTGTCCTTACCAAAAGAAACTGAGGCTATGATAAGGAAAGCACAGATTGAAATACCATAAACAAGAGGACAATGACAAAGAGGATCTAGAGGGCTTCCAAAGGTAACCTGACTGTCAGGTCTTCATCAGAAAAACATACAACAGTAAGAATAATGGGAATGTGGCGCGACTGCATTTATTTGCAGAGTCTTGTGCACACCCATGAGAAGACAGAGCTGAGGTTTCACACAGGAGCCCTGTTCTCCCCATCCCTGCAAAAGTCCACCTTACCAAACGCTCATGTGGATGCAGGCTGCAGTAGCTGCTAGACTGTGGAATATGAGAAGAATTGCCCAACATTCCTCCGTAGCCAGGCTGACTCATCCCACTGGAGGAGCTCCAAGGGTCACTGCTGTGATGGCCATCTGTAAAGAACAAAGAAAACCATGACTTTTCTGAGGCATTCAGCCTTGCCTTATAGAATAGGGGTTTTTCATATACTTGAAAATGACCGCCTGTTGTGTATTCATCTTGGTGTTGGTTAGCTAATTACATCAGAAGACAGTCATCATTATTTCCCCCCCCCGAGTGGCTCCGCATTATCAAACAAACAGAAACATTTAACAAAGTTACTGCTTTTAGTAAGAGCTCAATTGTAAAAGAGCATGTTTCTACAGCAGCATTACGTTAAGTCGGCAAGGTAATGAATACTGAAGAAACATTTCTTAAAAATCTCTGACCAACACCCCCAACTTTTTTTTTTTTAATAAAAATCAACTACAAAATTAAATTGTTCCTGAACTTTGAGGTAAAAATAAAATACTTGAGACATTATAGAGCTGGCACGTTTACAAGTTTTAAAAGCCTACAATGAAATATGTAAAAAACAAAACAAAACAAAACAAAACAAAACAAAACACAAAACATCTGATTGAAAAGGTTTGATTTTATTTTTGTAACATTCATAATAGAATTGATATTATAATTATGATATGTAGGGAAGAGGACTCTAGGTTATGGTTATTTTTATTGGTATAGAGGTATACAGCTGTCTTCAACCTTTAGTAGCAATTTAAAGAGTACAATCATATCATGAGGTAGATACGATGCTATAGAGAATTTTGAGAACCCCTGGATTTTACAAAATTATAAGTTAAGAAGAGGTTTCAACTAAATGCCGAATGTAGAAGAGAATTAGATGTGTGCAAATTAACTGTGCTCATCATTCAGCGGTAGGGAGAGGGAACATGGGAAGAATAGATGAACTCTAGATAGGGCAGAGTGGTGGGAGGGGAAGGGAGGGGATATGGGGTTAGAAATGATGGTGGAATGTGATGATCATCATTATCCAAAGTACATGTATGAAGACACGAATTGGTGTGAATATACTTTGCATACAACCAGAGATATGAAAAATTGTGCTCTATATGTGTAATAAGAATTGTAATGCATTCCGCTGTTACATATAAATAAAAAAAATAACAAAAAAGAGATTTCAAACTATATGGCAACTATGTGAATATCTTTTACAATGAAATTAATCTTTTGTGAACACCAGATTAAGAATAGTCCTACAGATTCTTTCCATTCCCTGACCTTATACATGGTTTCTATTCTTTCAATAGTTAAACAAAAATTATTAAGTTCTGGATATAGACCAGGAAATCAGTTGGGTACTAAATGGATAGCAGGAACTGGTTCTCAGAAATATGGTTATTTCCCCATAACATTTTATTTAACAAAGGCTTTTAAAAATTTAGGTAATAGGCAAGTTAAATCTGATAATGTATTTCATGAAGCTGATTTTCACTGAGTGTTTAAACCCAGAAGTTTGAATCTCAGGATGGGACTAGTTTCAGAACAGACAGGAAGAGATGGTAGATTTCTTTCTTCAAGAACCAAGAAGCAAAATCCTGTCTGTGATTTTGACAACTTTTAGAGTTTTAATGAGGAGATGGAAATTAAAGTTAAAAATAAAGAGGCCACAGTAGTAAGTTTAAAATATGCCTTAGACAATCTCCGAATATCTTTTGCCTTAATTGCATAATTTTAACCACTAAATTCTCAGGGTACCACTGCATCCCTCTATTGAAGGAAGCTGGTATGAGACAGGATCATGATGCCACCGTTCCTGATTTGTCATATAAAACACAGGAATTTTAAGAAGTTATCATTCAATGTGCTTTAGACGGAGTCCTCAGATTACAGAAGTTTAAATGTCACCGTAAATTCAAATATGAAGTTGAAGACCACTAACATTTTAAATAGAAGGCACATTTGACAAATAAATTGAGAATATATGTCATTGAATAAGAGCCTTTTGAAACATTCTGACAGTGTGATGCATGGGGGGCAGTACATTCAGGATTGTTAACGCAGAATGTTCTACTCAGTGCAGACTTATATAAATACACATTTTACATAAATTATGCTTTTCACAGTAAATTAATATTTATCACATCCCATGATCTTGGCATAATGTTGTTTTGAAGAATAGAATTAGATGCGTGCAAATTAATTGTGCTCATCATAAATGTCAACTCAGTTTTTTGTTGTTGTTTTTTCTGGGGGGTGTTCATATGCAGAAGAACAAATTTGTTCCCCACATTTTGTGTGGGTTGCTACGAAAAGGCACCTCCTGTTTCGATCTACCTGGACTCCCCTACAACATGCATAGTTCAAGCAAGGCAGATCAAAGAAATCTGTCACTTTCCTCAATGAAAATCTACTTGGAGTGATGAATCCCTAAGTTGACACCTGTGAGCACCTGTAGCTCAATTTCTCCCATGCTTACAGAGAGGGGAGCTGATCAGAGGCAGCTGCTATTTGTAGCTAAAAGTGGTAAGCCCTTTGTCATGACCAACCTGCTGTGCCTCTTTGAGAGTTTCATCTAGGATGGATCTTGAAGATCAAGGATCCTCATGAACATGAGAATCCATTATGTGTGGAGCAAATTCTCTCTATTCCCAAGAGACCCATTTCATTCAATTTTATAGATTTTCCATGGAATCTCACATGTGAACTGGCAATCTAAGAAAGCGAACACTCTGAAGGGAAAGAAGATAAGTCCCCTTTCATCAGGAAGACTTTGAGAGTGCTCACTGTTATCAATGTGTGAGATATCATGCTGTTCCCCTGGAACTTTCTGCTCCAACTACGTTCTTTTCCTGTGACTTGGCACTTCTTGGAGTAGCATAAAGAGGGAAGTCCCGTGGCACTTCAGCAAGACACACTCTAAATGAAGTGCTCCTACCCAGGCAAAAAAAGTTAAGTTTCTGCATACAGGGCTGCTTGGTAAACTCTATATCTAAATTCAGGGTAAGTTGGCAACAAGATCATTACATTTTTTTTTTTTTTAAGATCATTACATTTTGAAAATAAGTATCACGGGCAAAATCAGGGATGGAGCCCTGAGCTGCATCCTCTGAACCGTCCATTCTTAAGAGTAGCTGCTGTCACATTTTAACCACCTTAGTCTTTCCAAGGCAGCAGAAACAAGCTGTTCTACAGGGGCAATAAATATACTCTGTGGGACACAACACCCATCTGCTTTTCATTAAATAGACTGGACAAGTAGAAGAACAAATATGGTTTATTGACCATGAAGCTACATTTTTCTGCATTTGTTGTCTGGCTCCTCAAAAGTTGGGCCTTTCACCCAAAATGAGTTAGCATGTTGGGACTGAGTTTTCGCCATGTACTATTCCAACCTTTAGACAGGACCACTTCACCTTAAGTGTTCATATCACCTTTAAATGGAATTAAAAGGTGGTTGAAATATTCCTAGGATTAACCCTGACTAAATGCAGGATGCTCAAAACAGAGACTAAGCTGAAACACTTTGAACTACACAACGGGCGTGGGGATGGTGAAAATGCTGAAATGGTCCATCTTGTAATTCCAACGGCAGCCTCAGCGCTGAGTGAGGCAGACTCCCTTCACCTCCACTCATTATTGCTCAAGAAGTTACAGCCTCAAAGAAAAAAGTCTTAGAAATAAGTTTTGGTTCATTAATTCATTTTGAAGTAATTCAGTCCTAAGAAGTTCCATTTGCCTCCCCACTTGTCTGTGTTCTGTTTTGTCCCATTCACTACATCTGAAAACCCTGTGGATTCCCCTGGGATGCAGAAATGCCTTACCTTGCATGAAGAAGGAGCTAGGGAAAGTGCTGGCTGCTGGCTTTGAGGAAGGGTAGCCTGGCGAGTCCCTATTGTAGTCGGCAGTGCTTGCTGATGGAGCATAGACCTGAGGAAGGAGAACCAAATGAATGTTGCTTTCTGCATTGACCAAAGCATCTCCACATCCACTGTTTGGTAAGAAGCAGGCTCAAAATGCTAATTTCTGACCTTATCCAGTCTAAGACCGATCAAAACCCCAGAAAAGCTGCCCCTTTCAAATATAGGAGGCAGTGGGGAATGTTCAGTAAATTTGTGTGAACAGAAAATAACCAGGAATGAGATTTTCCAGTCCCAGACCACAATAGTGTCAACCATGTGGAGCTGTAAACATACTATGTAAGACCCCTGGGGTAGTCCTGAGTCTAAGCATCTCTGCTTTTTAAACACAGATGGCCCATGAGCACATGAAAGGTAAAAACAGAAAGATATGCACCCAGTCCAGCTTCTCTGAAAAGACAGAGTACAACTTTCAATTAAAAATTTCACTGGGGGAGGGGGGATAGAGGTAGGGAGGGGGAGGGACACAAATGAAGCATCCGGACCACAGAAAGCGATAAATCTATCTTGGACTATTAAATTCCCATAGTGTCAGCTTTTTTGCAGAGATGCATGAAAAAGGCCATTTTTTAAAAGCCTGGATCTAGACAAGACCACCAACAATCTGAGTGTACACAGGAAGAAGGGGGCCTCTTCCTTAGTGCTTATTGTATTTGTGTGAACCATAAACTTTAAAAGTGAGCCAAAAATCTCATTTACTTCCATTCGTTTACTAATACTCAGGAGACTTGGGGAACTAGTTTTTATAAAAATAGCCTGTGTGTATTTTCTTGTTTATGTTTCTTTCAAACAGGACACCATATTAGAAGAGCGTTAATTCATAAGGTATAGTTTAACTATCAACTGGTTTTCCTTGCCTTTCTTTGCTCTCTCTCTCTCCTCTCCCCCTGCCCTCTTTCTCTCTGTGTGTGTTTACTTATTTATTTTTAATCCCCATTTTCTTTCGCTCTCAAAGTTTCTCTCTCCAGATGGTCGGAATGACTGAAACACTGTCATCCTCCTGATGAAAATGGATACCTTCCTGCCTCCATTTTGAAGCAGACAGTGGCTCACAAAATTGGCACTGAGCCTACAGTGACAGTGGTAGGTCACAGCGAAAGAAAAAGGAATTCACCAATAAAAAGGCAACTGCAGGGTTACCAAAAAATAATTCCTGTGTCTTTTTTACAGTACACACGGAATAAACACCCAAAGAAAAATTATATAATTGCTCTCAGAACGCCATGAATCACAAACTAAGCATTAATACAGGGTTTAGAGTTTCACAAAGGGTAGGACCATAGAGACAGATGTGGGAAAATATGCACATACAACCATACATCAAATAAATGCTACAGGCCCCACAGTGTCCTTGAAAATTGGGAGGTCCTAGAGATTAAACAAAACAAAAATAAACCGGAGAGAGCCACTCACCCTTTAGAAAACAAGGATTTTTTCCCCCTAAATCATAGAGGGATTTAAGCACCGTATTTCATAAGATTTTATTTTATAATTTTCTTCCCATTCTAAATGTAAAAATAGCAATTCGCTTTTATTTCCACAGTGATCACAATAAGGGGAAAAACATTTTTCAAGTGTCTTTAAGAAACAAAGACTAAAATGTAGGGCAGGAATCCAAAAACAAATCAACAACCTAAGTTCTGTCAAGTCAGTCCCAGTATTTTCTGGAGAACAACATGACTGACTTACAGCAGTTTGGGAAGTATGACTACATGTATTTAGAGGTCTTGAGAGAAGGCTCAAAGATGAAAGAAATATCGCCTTCTAGGAAAAGGGCGAACTGAAAATTAAATCATCTCACTCTAAAGCCAGAATGAGCAGAATCTCACTATGACTATCAACCTGCTATTATCCCGACACACATTTGGCCAACGAGGTCTAACACAAGCTAAATGCACCACACATGATTCCCAAAATTTCAGGAATCATTATATATTTACTACAAAACTGAAAATAAACTCTTATACTATTAAAAGTTACCTTATATTTTAAAACGATATAAAATAATTCTTTTAACATACAGTTTAACCTTAATGAAAAATTATACTACATTTTCCTTCAGTATTATTAGGCAAACACTTTTTGCTGACACCTAATAAGGTTCAACTAACTTTTCCAATTTTGGTAGAATTGCTTGACATTTTGGGGATGGATGAATGGATGGAAGGAAGGAAGAAAAGAAGGAAGGAAGATGTGTCATTAATTTTAGTCATTTAAAAAGAGTCTACTTTGACTATAAATTATGATCAAGCTCAAATATCTAAGGATAAGAGCACTTATCCCAAATTCATAAATACTGCCTGAGTGGAAAGAATAGCTAAGTGGTGGAAAAGGTTAGCATACACAGCATGATGCAGTTTCTGGTTTACTGGCATCGCAGCCAGCTGAAGACTTTTTAGATCACATGGATTAAGGTTGTTATAGAGGAAATGGACCTTTGTTTATCATTTCTTAATGTGCACTTTGTGCATAACTGATTTCTTTAACAATAATTTACAGGTCAGGTAATGTTATTGCTTTTGCCTTCATAGATTTCATCTTTATACCTAAACATTTATTTCTAAGGTAAGCTCTATTTTTATTTATAAAGATAAACATTGCATAGAACTATAATTTTTTTTTGAAAGTAAACAGAACCAATGAATTTACTTATTCGAATGTCTATTTTAAACTTCAGAAAACTCCATAGTGGAATTGTCGAAGCAACTTGCTCAAGATGAGCAACTTGCTAAAAGTACATCACTATCTACTGGTCTTTATTTTCCATTATTTGATGGGTACTTTCTTTCAAGTTGGTGGCAGAGATAAAAATGATATTTAAGTAAACACAGAGATTATAATGTTCATACTTCGGCCTATCTTTAATCTTTTAATTTTTAATAACCAGGATAACCAGTGAGCTGCTTTATTATTTCCTACTTCATTCAATGATTTTGCCAATTTCTCAAACAAAAGACTTCAAAGCAGAGCTTTCAATAAAGTTTTTAATAGTGATATTAAATTTAGTAAGAAAAGCTCAGATCTATCTGGTTCTCATTATTATTCTGCTGGGTTTATACACAGATTACCAAACAATTGGCATTGTTTTCAATACCTAATATCAGAAAATCAGTCCAATTTGAAATTAAATATAAATCCCAACTCTAGTTCCACATGTTGAAATGACCCCGTGATGAAAAGTGAGAAAACCCCAAACTTCTCTTCCAGCAAGGTGGCTCAGTTCAAGGTGACAACTGGCCTTCAGACTCTTCCTACAAGAGTAACCGAAGAAGTGTGAAATTTTGTTGCCCAATTGGAAATGGGCTATGTCGGCCAAAGCTCACTGGGCATAGCTCTTTTGATGAATTATTTGTTCAGTCAAAGCCTCGTGGAAAACTAACTGCACAGGGCACTTCATTTTAAATGGTAGCACCGTTGTCTTTCCTCTTATGATCCTGGATTTAAAACAAAATTGTATGTATACAGAAATGGTGAACTTAACAAAGTTCTCTAGAGAACACTAAACCTTGAACTGATAGAGGTAAAACAAAAACATCTTCCCTTGACAGATTAAATTTTTTGCTGTCATTTGGCAAATACTGTCATGGTGCAGTAGCCGTACCATTCCACATTCCTAACTCTTCCTACCCCAGTCATCAGAGATGTGGTAAGTTCTTCCAAAGAGAACTTCAGTCTATTAGAAAAGTAGAGAATCAAGCAGGCACATGAACCGTGAAGGAGTGTGTCTCCTGCCCCTTCCCCTCCACAATTATAATGATCTTGACCTCTCAGTCTCATTTATGGAGATTTAAAAATAAAATGGTTGACATCTGTTTAGGGCACTTGGGGGAAGAGCTTTTGTGGTAGACGTTGCACATACATTATTTCTAATCTTCATAGAAACCACACAAGCTGACATTTTTAATAGAGTTGTTTCTAATTTACAAGGCAGAGAAGTGAAATAAACCACCCTGGGTTAGACTGTGAGTTCTACCACTTATTAGGAAGGTGACCTTGGACCTGTTGCTTTTAACGTCTCTGGTCTTCAGATGTCTACCTGTAAAATGGGGACAACAATGTCTGCTAGGCAAAGATCTTGTAAGAATTAAATGGTGGAATATATAAAGCAACTCAGATGGTTCTAGAATGGTACCTGGCACGTACTAAGCATGCAACAAACATGAGGCACTACTGTTAAGGTCATGCTACTGTTTTTTATTAATTGGACAAATGTGACCCAGGAAGTTCATTAAGAATCTTTCAGATGACATTGCAGGAGATTTGATCTGGCCATCAAAACCTATTTTTTTTTCTATTATAAAACAATTCCTTGCTCTTCAAAGGCAAACAAGATAGTCTTAAAAATCAACATGAAGAGATACTTTTTTTTTTGTATTTTATAAAAATAAAGCAAAGTGTCATAAGGAATGTCAATGGTGAAATCAAGTTTGTTTTAAGTAACCCCCTTCCTAAAGGGGAAACTGTATTCTGAGGGATAGGGTGAAGGGGCTTCAGACCACGGATCATGAGGAGTGTCATTAGGAGGGACTGGGTGATGATGACCATGGAATTCTACAGTGAATCTTACCATTCTTTAACATAACTACCCCCTGGAGATTCTGCAAGTACCATCTGAATATAATTTCCAGGAGAATTGGAATAACTGAAACATTGCAATCGAGGCATTCAGACCCTTGCAGAGAGTTACTAAGTAGAAAATAGTAAAGCAGAGTACACTCTACAGTGATTTTTTAGAATATGAGGAGTGTCATTCTGTGTCATTCTTTTCAGGAAGAAGCAAGGATGGCTCCAAGGCAGTGATACCTCTACATTTAGAAAAGTTGGGATGAACACCAACTGTTCTATGTGACCATATTAAAGCTATATTGCAGGCTGACCCACATAGCAAAGGGCAGATATACTTGAAGAGTTAGCCTCCAGACAGAGGATAAAAGATTCAGCAAGACAGTAGAAATTACCCAGTTCTGGATTCACAACAACTGGGTTCAAATTCCACCTGCCACAATTCAT